CCCCAGATGTCATGCTGAGAAAACTAGAACACACTAAGAGAAAAATCAAATAGTTATAAAAATAAAATATTTACAAAAAGAGAAGGAAAAAAAACTTGTAAAGATACAAGTAAAAGTCTAATCTAGAAAAATAGTTAATTTCTAAGTCCCCGGCAACGGCGCCAAAAACTTGTTGCGGCCAAACGCACTCACGCAAGTATACGCGGTCATCAAGTAATAAAGTGACTAAAAGTCAGATGTCGATCCCACGAGGACTTGCGATTAACTATTAACTAAATTAGACTATCCTAATTATCTAAACAAGAATTAAACCTAGAAGTATTTGGTTCTAAACTAATTAAATAAAGAATATAAATAATGAACTTTTAACAGAGAGAAAGAGCAGATTTTTATGATATCAATGTAATGAAAACGATCTAGGGTTATGGGCTACCTAACAATCCTATTGTATTTTTCAATTGAATTGACTAATTAATTTATACAGTTTATTGGTTGACAGGGTTAATATTGCTCATAAGAATCTGTCGAGTTCTTACTCGCCTATTCAAGCTAACCTAACGCCTATATGTCTATGGAGTTAGAATCAACAAGAACGCATTTATAATTCCTGTATTTCAACCAAGCAAGGCAATTAGGTATATGTCTATCCTAATTGCAAATCCGTTCCCCGATGCCCAGGTTCAAGAACTTGCTCTACTCAATCCTATATGCAATCTAGAATTCCCACTTTCGAGTTCAACTCTAGATTCGTAGATAGTATTCAATTGGTGATCAAGCAATCAAATAATTAAGTCAGGATTGAATAAATAAACCAATATGATAAACTAAGAAATCAAAATCAATATCCGAATAACAATAGTCATGAAAGAACCACAACCCTAGAACGTGAAGTTTAACTCCACATAGACATGGTAGCAAAACAACAAATCATACAAAGAAGCATAAAAAGACTAAGTTGGTGGAAGAAAAGATGAAACCCGGCCTCCACGGCAGCTCTGTGCTTGTGTTTTTCTCTCAAAAACGTCCTCCTCCCTCAAAATACTGTTTTTCCATGTATATATACCAAGTAGGGTTGGGCCCAAACAATTATACCTTCTCCAATGTGAAAAAGGACATTTTCCCGGGTTTGACTAGCGCGATCGCGCTAGTGGTCGCGCTAGTGGCCCAGTGTTCTGCCTGACGAGCGCGACCTGAGCGCGATCCCGCTATTGACGCGCATTTTTCACCCTGTTCCGTTTCGAATTTGGAAAAAAATAAAAAATGAAAGTTGTAGCCCTTTGAGTTAGCTTTCCAACCATATATTGTGGAGCCCAAATGGAGTTCTGAGCAAAAGGTTATATCTATTTTATTAGACAGTGCGCAATATGCCTACTGGAGTCTTCGTTCGCTCTAACTATCATCCGTTGACCCCCAAACACGATCCCGGCTTAATTCCTTGAACTTTTACTCAAACTTTAAAGTTCCAAATCACTGAATTCATTCCATAACATCTACATAGCTCGGAATCACTCCCACAAGGCATAAAACACACTGTTAGTGCAAAACACTAGCGATTAAAGCTCAAACTCAATTAAAGTGCAGTAAATTAGAGTGTAGTAATCGACTAACATACGTAATTATAGCCTATCATCATTTCTCTGCTTCTAAAAGTCATACAAAGTTCTTATTTTAGCTGATAGTTCTTCATAAGTATTTCGCTCCGAACCGAAGGCAAGCTAATATTGAAAAGCTCATAATCGAGCCTGGACTCAATATAACTACTGGTTTGGCTGTTTATTCTATCTTTAATTTGCCTATCTAACGTTATTAATCACTTGTATTGGATTAGTCCACATAACCTTAAAACCGCATATAAATTCATTTGTTATCCATTTTAAAGGGTAAACAAAGGGCTTTTCAGATGTTTCATAACATGAAAGATAAACTTCATAGGGAGAATGATACAAGTTAAAAACACTATTGCAAATATTTTTTGTATCATTAGTGCAATTATCATATTTGATATTTACTTTAATAATTTCGCTACAAGAATATCACAAATTTGTGACGGAATAATAATGACGGACAGACTCATACAAAATTATGACAGATTTTTGTAATTTTATAATGTAATTCATCAATTTGGACGAAATTCGTGACTGTTCCACAACGGTCGCTGTAAATATTTTTCTTGTATTGTCACCCATTAATATGTATAGTAGAAATTTACTTATAATTACCTAATAAGTATTCATATCATATAAATATTTTATACACTGTAAATATATAAAAATTAAACAAAAAAAGAACGTTAGCTTTTACATGGTTGTTTGATGAATTCATACATCTCTATATTTTCGTAGCTCGGGAGAATCTATTATTTTTCGTGAAATATACCATAGTGACCAAGGTGGAATAGAGCGTTCGGAAAATAATACTAAAAAGAAGGAATTAAAGGGCTTGTTTCTTGGTGGATGTACTTATGATACTATGCCAATAGATAACAAGAGATGAACTAGTTCTTGTTCTATGTAGAGGAAACTAGTTTATTCTTACGCCATTTTGATTTGACATGTATCTAATATGAAACATATACGATTTTTATTCTTAATCAGAGATTTCGAGTTTAGAAACGAATCTAGAATTCTAAAAAAATGGGTGCGGTACTATATTATTAAGAGGTAAATCTAGAATTTATATTTGACGGGTTCTACCCTTAGGTTCTTACCATAAATTCATTACTATTTAGATATTATAGGTTAAGATTAAATTTTTCTTGCAGTTTTAGTAATTTTTAACACATATACCTATACTTCAGATCAAAAATGCTGGAATCATTAAACCATGTTATATTATTCACTAGTTTTACTTATATAAAATTTTACGATGACAAAGGGAGATTATGGATTTCAATGTATTAAATTTGGGATTTTGAATGAATAAATCAAATAAAAAAAGGAAAAACACTTAATTAGAACACAATAGAGGACAATAGAAATGCCTATAAATTGAGATATGAACCTACCTTTAATTTACTTGTAAAGGTATACCCAATAATCATTGCACCATAAGACTCCTTGAGCTTGGGTGTGCACATTTAAATTTAATGAAATTTTAAGAAATATAATATGTTATTATACATGGCATTTAAGAGAGAAGCATGACTTCACATGCCCCATGTTCCAACACATAAATACGCCCTTGTTCGAGTTTGAGTTTGTATATGAAGCTATAATCTTTTATCATTAATTAGATATCTCGAGTTAGTCTTGTATATGAATTTCATCTTTGTTAGAGAGCGATTTACACCTCCTCCCCCGTTCCATGTGGGACTTCTCGATACAAATTCAAATGTAATCAGACTCCAGTGCAACTATCGATTAACAAACCAAAAAGAATTATATATAGCGTCTTTATTCAAGCGAAAAGCAACATATGAGATTCTTTATTATTCACGTAAAAGTTATAGTACATGATGTCTCGAATTTGATTTTGACATACTCGTAAAATATAAATCCACTAATCATCAAGCTCGTAAATGATGATCTTTTCATGCACAAAAGGTCATGTTTTCCCTCAGTCACATCCCTTGAGTACTCCTCCCACCTACTCCCTGGTCCCTACCCTAAATTTTTGTCTTTGGCTATTTTCGAAAATTTTATGATTTTGGTGAAATAACCCTTTAGTTACTAAAGAGTCGTCCAATTTCTCGGTGATCGAATAAGAGAGGTTTTTACCGCTTTCTCTTTTCTCCAGCACGCTATGCCCAATAAGGAAAGACTGTGTTAAAAGGATGCCCGTCTGTTTATAGCTAGCTCGTACACACAAATATTGGACCTAGGCTTATTGATGGATTTGCTCATGTCGAACAGGTCTGGATTCGAGGTTCGAAAACAAAAGTCCACTAGCCGAGCTATACTTTCTTCGCCCCTTCGGAATACCCCGGCCGATTCCACATATTAGGCTAGGAGCTTACTAGGGGAATTTTACTATTTGAGAATAATATAAAATAAACGCAATTTGAATTTAGAAGTAAAATTTTAAAACAAATATAGCCTTTGATTAAACCTACTTACAATAGGAGTTGATAATATATAGGTTAATACTGTGTGTGCAAAATATCTCACGTACACCAGAAATGATAGGTAAATATATGTTAAGATTTATTGATACGTCATCTCGTGTGTAACTTCAAAGTGTTTCGCAGGTTTTAGGCAACTTGTCATATCAAATTCTTGTAGAAACGAGGCTATAGTGAGTTGAAAAGAACACTCCTATGATGTAATGCCCATATGAATTCTTGTTACATTATCTTAAAGTGCTTCTACTTATGTTTTTTAACGGTAGTATACCGCTAATTTAATTCATGCGCATTTTGATTATTTTATTAGGTACTTATTACCTTATATTAATATATAAAATGTCAAGCTGCCGCCACGAAAACTTACGCAGATTGAAAGAAATATATTTGTATATAATTTTAATATCTTATGATTTCTTATCGCACTTTATTTACTGTTATACCATATTTTTTGAAAATGCCTCACTAAAGATTTTAAGATATGTGCATTAACAAGGAAAAGAAGTTTTACATAGTCAGTGCACTTCTATTGGTTAGCAGGTAATTTTTAAGTTGCCATGTATGTCACGATCCAAATTCCATATTAGGCCGTGATGGCGCCCAACACCGTTATTAGGCAAGCCAACACTAATCAAATAGTAAATTCTCATTTGTGTAGTTAGTACGTGATAACTTCCATTATAGATTAAGAAATTTATAGTTTAAAAATTTAAGCATATTTAAATGGAATGTAATAAATGTGAATCTCAATCATGACGACAAGCCAAAACATCATAGGTCTACTAATGTGCGTGCCAAGACCTAGTGTCACAACTGTGTGGGCAATCTAGTAGAATATACATAACCATACTATCCTACTATCTCGAAAAGGAATAGACAAGAACATAAAGACAAAAGAAAGACTCCAGCTGCTGCAGAACGGCTCAAAAGGACAGCTCACCGGAAAGTCTCAAGTTGAGGAGTCCACTCTACGTGCCAGACTGATGGCCATATGCCTGCATCAAAGCATGTACAATCAAGTACAGAAGTGTAGCATGAGTACATAGAAATATGTACTCAGTAAGTATATCGCCTAACCTCACAAAAGTAGTGACGAGGGGTCGACTCCGACACTTACTAGGGCCAGAAAAATAATAATATGAAGTTCAATACATTTAATTCGCAATGTATGTAGATAACGACAAGCTCGAACAAGAATAATTATTGAAAATCCTTTCATCCAATTAATATAACTAGGCACTTTCCTCATTTAAAATAAGTGATCTTTCAAGCAATAAATCATACGAATTGTAAGGGTTCCGGTTCTATTATCACACACAAATACCACCGAGACGTTCGGTCCGATCCAATATAAAAGTAAACTGTACAACGCCGAGGGTCTAACGACCCGAACCATATATATACATTTACTATCCTGCCGAGGCGAACGGCTCGCTCCCATGAGAGTAGACGAAATAATCACCCCACTCGCAGAATATACTTGCGACGCGGTTAAGTATAAATATAACTTAATGTTTTCCTCAATTCTTACCAAAATAAATATTTACTTGAAATCCTTCAAATCATAACATCTTCAACTTAGTCCCATTCAATGCAAATAAACAATTAAAATCACATAACGGTATCCACAAAGCATGGTGTAAGTCTAGAACTACCCGGATATAACAGGAATAGTAGCTACGTACGGACTCTCGTCACTTCTTGTGTACATAGCCCCCACAATTAATCATATATTAATTAAGTTCACCTATGGGGAAATTTCCCTCTTACAAGGTTAGAAAAGATACTTACCTCGTTTCGAGCCTACTTCCAACTCAAGAACACGTTCAAACTCTCAAACCGGAGCCGCACAATCTGAAACTATTCAAATAGTGTAAAAACCAATCATTATAGGTTTACAAATTCATATTCTAGCTATTAAAGTGATTATCCAACCCCAAAGGTAAGGTTCCTAAGGAAGTTGTTACCCACAACCTAAGGATCAAGAATATATGACTTTTACTTCATTCCATAACGAATTTCGTGGTTAAATCTTATTTTTATAAAAAACCTAGGTTTTACTCTAATCCCATGATTTTCACTAATCTATACATGTTAATCTACCCAAAATTCAAGTATTGAACTCACATATAGTAGGAATTACTTACCTCTAAAAGCTTGGTGAAGAACCTCTCTCAAGAAGCTCAAAAATCATCTACAATGGAGTGAAAAATGAGCCAAAATGTCTAACTCCCGTAATAAATTAAGGTCACTGCCTTCGGTGTTTTCCACATCTGCGGTCCTGGGCCGCACCTGCGCCCACCTCATCTGCGGAAAAGTGTCCGCTTCTGCGAAACTCCACTGGGCCGGCTGGGCCGCTTCTGCGGAAAGCCAACCACTTTTGCGGTTCCGCTTCTGCAATTTCTGGGCTGGCCACCCGTGGCCGCCTCTGCGATGGCTTAGCCGCTTCTGCTGGTTCGCATCTGCGGCTGGCCAACCGCGGGTACGGTTATGACAGAAACCTGGAGCTTCAGCTCCTTCTCACATTTTTCAACTTAGCTCGAGCCTCGTCCGTTTGACGCTCGGGCCCCCAGGGGCCCCGCCCGAACGCACCCACAAGTTTGAAATAATAAAACGGACTCGCTCGAACCCTCGAAACGCCGAAAACAACATTAAAACTAGGAATCACACCCTAAAACCAATTGATTCAAACTTATGGACTTCAAGTTCTTCGATTTACTTCCAATGTGACGAAGCACACTTACACTACTCGGATTGACACCAAATTTTGCGTGCAAGTCTTAAATGACATTACGGAACTATTCTCAGTCTCGGAATTTCGTTCGGAACTCAATAACACAAAAACCCACTCCTAACCGAATTTAAAGAACTTCAAAATCCTTAAGGAATTAACTTTCACTATTAGGCGTCAAAACGTTCCCGGGTCATCCAAAACCCGTTCTGGACATATGTCCAAATCCGAAATTATCATACGAACCTATTGGAACCGTTAAATCCCGATTTCGAGGTCGTTTACTCAGAATGTTGACCGAAGTCAAACTTGGCCTTTTAAGCCAACCTTAAGGAACCAAGTGTTCCGATTTCAACCCAAACTCTTCCAAATCCCGAACCAATCATCACCAAGTCATAAATCAGTTAAAGCAAGTACAGAAGTCTTATTTAGGGGAACGGGGTTCTAGAAAGTAAAACGACCGGTCGGGACGTACAATGTATATAAGATACTAGCCTCAAGGTACGCGCGATGCGCGTGTATTCTATCTCACTGAGTACTAATTTATTTAAAACTTATATTTAAATAGTAAAATAAAAGTATAAGTTTCTGAAGATGATTATATATGTTAAAGGATAATATATCCAATATAAAATATATTTTTAAAGGATCAAAAAGGCGAACGACATTTCGCTAAGAGCCTTCGTATTTTTAATATAGTATAGATATAGATATAGAATGGGGCACACATGCAAAACACGTACCCTCATGCTAGTATTAAGGTATGCGCTCTGCGCGTGTACCCATATTAATGAGAATATAATTTTAGAAAAAATATTATTAAAATAAATTTAAAGAGGAATGTAAGTTTTTGAAAAATAATAAATATTGATTACAGTGACCTAGGCGAGAAGATAAAATAAATAAATACTTTTTCAAGAAAAGATCAAAGTATATTCAATTCTTAAAATATAACGTAAATAAAAGTAAGATAAATCAAATTGTTCTCTATCCCAAAATTAATAACATAAATAAAACAGAAAAATTATTTTGAAGAATCCTTAAATGCATGCTAATGAAGTGCTTACATCTTTATTTGATAGAAAAACGTTGGAACACTTTGAATTACTAGCCGCTACTTCTAATTTTTATGCCATTGTATTTCATATACTTGAAGGAGATGTATAAATAATTGTATCTCAGCTACAGAAGTCTCTCCGTTGTTTTGTTTCGGTAATTAAAATCATTTATTTTAAAGTTCTAACTTCAGATTTCTATTTAATTCAAATAAAAAGATTCAATAAATAAAAATTAAATTAATTTTAAATTTTAAATTTACATGTAAGTTATTATAATTTTGTTACCTAGTTCAAATTAAAAAAGGATTTAGATAAGGTAACATTTTAGCCGATTTATTAGGACTTTCTAATATTCAAATTTACTTGATTTTAAGTTATAAATATTAGAATAATGATTAAATTACAAATTCCTCATCTAGCTTAAATTTTAGAAGATCTTTTCGTCAAACAAAAAGTTGTAGTAGTTGTTCAATTTTTTTTTCTTTAAAGACTTGAATCCAAATCAAATAAGTAATAGTTAGTGGTGAGATATTAAAATCTTAAAATTTGAATTTTAAAAGTTATTTCAACGTCAAATTAGTATTTATATTTGGTCCTAATTAGGACTTCTATTTATACAAGGAAGATTTAATTGATTTTAGTATCCTATATATATATATATTAGGGATTCCTATATAATAATTCAAATATGGAAAGTTTTAATAGATAAACTTTTAGTTGATTTCAAAGTCCTAGATATTAGGAAAAATAGGTAAATGACAATTTTGTCTATTGTGAAAACTTTATAAATTATAAAGTTTACTGGTTCGAAATTCCCGGTTTCGAAAGTTTATGAAAAATGTGGGTTCGGAAGGTTGTTGGTTTGAAAGTTTATGGCTTCATGTTTATTATATCTAAATTATTTATGAATACTCTTGAGAAGTCATTTTCCTTAATTTGCGTATAAAACATCGGAAAATAAATAAAATTACTACTTGTTTTCCAAGAAAACATTTTCTTGAAAATATTTTCGGTTATACGAAACACACCCAGAGTCTTGCTCCTTTTCCTCCCACAACAATGAATTTCTTTAAGGAGGTTGAACCAGAAAAGAAATTTCTAGGAGAGATTCCATCGTTGTCATTAATTAGTTTAATAGCCATGTGGATGATTAATTAATATGGAAAAATTTAAGTTGGTTCTTGCCTAAATTATAAAGTCCTTCCTGTCATAAAGTATGAGAGATTCTTCTATCAATTGCGTCATGTGATTAGGAACATGGATGATTAATTAATTAGTTAGTTGAATGCTTAAAATTAATTGTGCGACCTAAAAACACAGTGAAACGCCAACACATTACGTCTCTAAAAGGAAATAGAATTGAATATAAAAAATTAGGTGGGATCATATCAGCACTAACGCACTGGATACCATTAGAACTTCGAAGTTAAGCGTGCTTGGGCGAGAGTAACACCAGAATAAGTGTCACGACCCGGAATCCCCACCCTCGAGACCGTGATAGCGCCTAACATTTCACTTGCTAGGCAAGCCAACGTTAGAGATTGTTTTTAGCCATTTTTAACTATTTAAAATCAAATGAAAACAATAAGCTGAATAAACTGAAATAGAGTAAATAAACTAGAATAACAGTGATATCTAGATACAATCCCAGAACTGGTGTTACGAGTGCACGAGCATCTAGAGTACTACAAATAAAATTCTGAATGAAAACATAACTGTCTGAAATGAAATAAACAACTAGAGTAATGTAGGTGGGTACTTTAGGGCTGCGAACGCATTGCAGTTATACCTCAAGTCTCCTGTCAAACACTGGATCCGAGCAATCTACTGACTGCCGCTAGGACCGACTCCAAAATCTTTACAAGAAGTGCAGAGTGCAGTATGAGTACAACCGACCCGATGTACTCTGTAAATGCCAAGCCTAATCTCGACGAAGTAGTGATGAGGCTAAGGTATCACGACCCGGATTTTCCCACCCTCGGGAGTCGTGATGGCGCCTACTAATAGGAGCTAGGCAAGCCAATCATCAATTACCTCTTTTAGCGAACATCAACAGTATTAACATTAATAACACGTTTAACAATAAAGCGGAAGTCTCAAATAAAATTTACTAAAAGAAACGCGGAAGTTTAACAATCCTCTACCCAAGACTGGTGTCACAACACTCACGAACGTCTAGAGAATACTAAATACAAGGTTTGAAAAAATCATAAAGCTGTCTGCTACGGTGCAACGATAACAAACTGAATAAAATAGAAAGGACTCCGGGCCTGCGGACGTCAGCAAGGCTACCTCGAATGTCCCTGGACTGGAAACTCGCTTCCAGAATGCTACTGCGACTCAACCGCTGTCCCAACACCTGGATCTGTGTAAAAAGATGCACAGAGTGTAGTATCAGCACAACCGACCCTATGTGCTGGTAAGTGCCTGGCCTAACCCCGGCGAAGTAGTGACGAGGCTAGACCGGACTACCAAACAAACCTGTGCAGTTCAAATATATATATATATATATATACACGCAATAAAAGAGAATACAGAAATTTAGCAAGTCAAGAGGGAGAGGAGCATGCTGTAGGGGCTGTAGCAATTTAGAATACAAGGTCAATAAATAAGGAATGAAACGGTACAACTACAAAGTCAACGAGAGTGATAATCAAAACATGGCACGGAATGTCCCTTCGTGCATTACTAATCAAAACATGACACAGAATGTTCCTTCGTGCAATACTAATCGAAACATGGCACGGAATGTTCCTTCGTGCAATAATAATCAAAACATGGCACGGAATGTTCCTTCGTGCAATAATAATCAAAACATGGCACGGAATGTTCCTTCGTGCATAATAATCAAAACATGGCACGGAATGTTCCTTCGTGCATAATAATCAAAACAATCGTGCACAGCATCACCCATCGTGCTTTATCACTCAACCTCACCCAAACAACAATCACAAACAATGGGGGCCGAGGGGATAGACAAAAGTAATAGATATCCCGGCAAGGGAAAACACAAGTAAACAATCAAATCCCGGCAAGGGAACAATAACAACAACCTTCACATCCCGGCGAGGGAGATAATCAATATACGTAAACAGCCCAGCAAGGGAATGATCACATCTCTTTCTCCTTCTTTCATTTCTTACTCAATAGTTGCTTTATCATTCGAGCCAATGCTCCAAAGAGTTTACAAAATCGTAAATTCCTTCTCATACTTTTCACATTATATAGAGTTCACCAATTTAACAAGGAAGAGTCACAACAAAACCAGAATAAGCACAATAAGGACCCACGGTCATGCTAGACACCGGTGTATAGATACTCGTCACCATGCCTATACACCGTACTCAACATTTAGCAATTAGCAAATAATATTCTAATCCTATTCCCTCAAGCCAAAGTTCGATCAAACACTTACCTCGGTCCAAAAGATAGCAATCAACTCTCCAATACCGCCTTTCCTCTAGTATCCAACTCCGAAACAATGATATCTAGGCATAATTAATTCAATAATATCAATTGAGGCTCAACAACAAAATCCCATAGCCTAGAAATGAATTTCCTATCATTCTTCCAAAAATACCAAAATCCGACACCGGGCCCACATGGTCTAAACTCGAGGCTCGGACCAAAATCCAATCACCCATAACCCTAAGAGTTCAAATATGTAATTTGT